CCTTTACTTGGGTATCACCTTTTAAAAATTTTATAAGCAATTTAACAAAATTTAGCCGAATTTTATATAAAGTATGGTTTTAAAATATTTTAAAAAAATTTCATGTATCAAAATAAATTAGAAAATAAAGAAAATGTAGTAAAATAAACTTTTTTGAAACAAAAAAAAGTTAAAGAGAAAGCCATTTAATTGTTTATTTTATTGTGTTAAAAGTTATATGTTGTTCAAAAAAGAGAGAAGAAAGTTCAATGAAACATGTCTTAAAATGTCAATGGTTGGTCATATGGTTTATTCAAGATTTTATTTTATTGTGTCGTTTTCCTAAGGCCTCATTCAAATAAAAATAATCACTACCACGTTCGAAATTAAGTGTGTTTTGCTCGGAATAATTCGATATTGGGCAACTTCCTAAAACCCTAAACCCTAAGAAACATGTGAGTGATAACAAAACATAATAAATAAAACTCGTGTTGGTACGTGGAGATAATCTTTACTCTTAGAAGCAAGGAGTAAGTAACGTGACCATATCATAGATGAATACCAAGATCATCAGGTGCCAAATCTAAATTCTAAATCCTGATGAGCGACATGACCACATCGCAAGAAAATGTCAGGGTTATCATGTACCGAATCCGAATTCTAAAATCTAATAAGCAAGAAGTAAATAACGTAATCATGTCATACGAGAACATCAAAACAATTAGGTGTCGAATCCAAAATATTTCAAAGTATTTATTCCCGACCTCGATATAAAAAAAGTTGTTACATTCCTTCAACCATAAGGAATCCAAGCAAAAAGAAAGATCCCATAACTTTATATTATATTAGATTTCTATAATTGAAATAGAATCTTTATTTGATTAAATTTAATGGTAATGATTATGTAAGCAATTATTTAATGTGGGACAAGGCAAAAAGAACACTATGGGGTATAGAGAATGAAGCATAAAAATAGTGGTGGGGCATTTTCCCACATTAATGTTCCCACCCTCATTATCAACTATGCTTTTGTTTCTAATTTGGACTTTGATTAGATAGTGATCCAAACAAAATTTTTTTTTTTTTTTTTTTTTTTTTAATTTAACGGATTTGAACCTTGGTCGAGGATGCATGTTAATTACTATTGAGTTATATATTTTGTTTTGTGTGTATTCGATGTGCGAGTCTTCACCACGAGCGAGGAATTGGTTGCCCTTTGTCTGCTGTGGTACATCAGCCTCACGATTTTAAAATGCGTCTATTAGGGAAAAGTTTACGTACCCTTATAAGGAATGTTTCGTTCCTCTCTCTAACCAATGTGGAATCTCATCAACGTGTGAGTCTTCACCATGAATGTGGAATTGGTTGTCCTTTGTCTGCTTTGGCCCGTCAGCCTCACGATTTTAAAATGTGTCTACTAGGGAAAAGTTTACGTACCCTTATAAGAAATGTTTCGTTTTCCTCTGACCAATGTAAGATCTCATCAACGTCTGAGTTTTCACCATGAGTGTGGAATTGGTTGCCCTTTGTCTGCTTTGGCCCATCAACCTCACGATTTAAAAAAATGCATCTATTGGAGAAAAGTTTACGTATCCTTATAAGGAATGTTTCATTCCCCTCTCTAACCAATGCGGGATCTCATCAATGTGTGAGTACGTACCCTTATAAGGAATGTTTCGTTCCCCTCTCTAACAATGTGGGATCTCATCAACATGTGAGTCTTCATATGAGTGTGGAATTGGTTGCCCTTTATCTGCTGTGGCCCGTCAGCCTCACGATTTTAAAATGCATCTATTAGGGAAAAGTTTACGTACCCTTATAAGGAATGTTTCGTTACTTTCCCCTCTCTAACAATGTGGGATCTCATCAACGTGTGAGTCTTCATATGAGTGTGGAATTGGTTGCCCTTTGTCTGCTGTGGCCCGTCAGCCTCACGATTTTAAAATGCGTCTATTAGGGAAAAGTTTACGTACCCTTATAAGGAATGTTTCGTTTCGTTCCCCTCTCTAACAATGTGGGATCTCATCAACGTGTGAGTCTTCATATGAGTGTGGAATTGGTTGCCCTTTATCTGTTGTGGCCTGTCAGCCTCACGATTTTTAAATGCGTCTGTTAGGGAAAAGTTTATGTATCCTTATAAGGAATGTTTCGTTCCCCTCTCTAACCATTGTGAGATCTCATCAACGTGTGAGTCTTCACCATGAGTGTGGAATTGGTTGCCCTTTGTCTGCTTTGGCCCGTCGGCCTCACGATTTTAAAAAATGCGTCTACTGGAGAAAAGTTTACGTACCTTTGGAAGGAATGTTTCATTCCCCTCTCTAACCAATGTGAGATCTCATCAACGTGTGAGTCTTCACCATGAGTGTGGAATTGGTTGCCCTTTGTCTGCTTTGGCCCGTCAGCCTCACAATTTTAAAAAATGCGTCTACTGGAGAAAAGTTTACGTACCTTTGGAAGGAATGTTTTGTTCCTCTCTCTGACCAATGTGAGATCTCATCAACGTGTGAATCTTCACCATGAGTGTGGAATTGATTGTCCATTGTCTGCTTTGGCCCGTCAACCTCACGATTTTATAAAATGCATCTACTAGGAAAAAGTTTACATACCGTTATAAGAATGTCTCATTCCCCTCCCTAACTAATGTGGGATCTCACAATTCACTCCCTTAAGGGGTTTGACATCCTTGCTACCACACTGCCTAGTGTCTGGCTATGATACCATTTGTAACAACTCAGCCCACCACTAATAGATATGACCCATTTTGGCTTGTTACGTGGAATCTCTTAGCTACCGTATGCGAGAGAGAGTTATATTAAATATATATATTTTTAAATTATGAAAAGAAAAGAGAAAATGATTGGGATGATGAAATGTTTGAAATATTGTAATTGGGCAGCTATTCACTCATAATCCTAATTATGAGACAATGAATAACCATCCAAATTTTTTATATCACAAATTACAATAATAATAAATGAAAAATCCAAAATTGGCGCGTGGTCATCACGCCCCGATCAATCAAGTTAGACCTTCTACAACAATTGATTCTTTTGTTCTCGTGTAAAATCAATTTCAATTTCTTAAATCTTAGTTAACTTTCTTTCGAAATCTCTCTTTTTCAAAACTTTCTTCTTGAACCGGGACTAGAGGCTCGAACATACGTCGCTTGGCCGTAAGCGACACAAGAACGAATAGACTTAACTCATTTGTTGTGAGGAGTGAGTGTCGCACAATCGCAAATACGCTGGCATCAAAGTGCGATTGTAACAATTTCAAAAATATCTTTGAACTTTAAAAAATTCCGTTGATGTCATTCAAAGTTTTAAAAAGTTAAAAAATATCCTTACATTTAGTTCTATGTTTAAAAAATATCTAAGGAAATTTTAAAAGTAATATTTAAATCATTTACTTTTATAAAAAAAAAAAATTCTTACCGTCAATATATAGACGAATACCGTTTATCGACACCTCATATAGTATCTCCAAACTTGTTAATATTAATTTTCAAAATTTATGAGTATTTTTGAAACGTGATACTAACGGTACAGGTATTCTTAAACTTTTAAATAATGTTTAAGGTTGTTTTTGAAGTTTTTAAAAAAATTCAAAAGTATTTTTATTAATTTAGCCTAGCTTTAATTATAGTTCGACCAGTGATTTTACTATTAGTTGCTAGATTTTTCAATCCTGTTCTTCTCATTCTCAATATTGGTTCCAGTGTCGTGAATATCATATATCTAAACAAACCAGTCTTACGACGTCGCTGTTCGTCCATCATTCTCTCGAATTATATCTAACTAGGTTCACCAATACATAGTAACATATATCTTAAAATTTAACTAAAGTTCGTAAGTTCTTACAAGACGTAATGTATTTAGGCTAATAATCTCACGAGATTTATGAAAATAAGATACTGAGTTAATCTACGAAGTCTAAAGTTGATATATCTACGGGATTAACAAGTCTGTGTTTGAAATGCTGAGTTCTATTTAGTGTCGTCTAAAATTCAAAATTGAAATGCTTATGTTTATTAAATTTGCTTAGGTTTGGTTAATGTTTTAAGTTAAAATACCATTAAATATTTTTTAATATTTGTCTCAAACATATTTTTCTTTTAAAAATTTCAAGGGTAATTTTTAAATATTATTAAATATTTAAAAGTATTTTTGAAATAAAATATATATATTTGTTAATTTAGATATGAATTTTATAACTAAAAATTATATATATTTTGATAATTATAAAAGAGATAAATATCACTATAAAATAAAGTAGAAATTTTGGTTTTCCGAGAAATTGAAAATTAAAGAAAATATCATGAAATAAGTTTTGCTTATTTATTTTATTTTCCCAATATATTATACTAAAAAGTAGCTATCATATATGTTAATTTTTTTAAAATAATAATAATAAAAATAAAAAAAAAGACTTTTGGAAACATGTTTTCTTTATTGGAAAACCAAAACTTATTTTTTAAAAAATTATATTTTTCCAAATATCAGTTTTAAAGAAAGATATTCATTGGATATGTGTCAGACATTGGGGGCAACTCAACGTGCCCAATGTGATATCAATTCTTAAAAAAAAAAAAAAAAAAAAAAAAACTCAAAACCCTAATTTTTATTTTCATATATTGCCAAACGATTTTTGTTCGTACAATAATTGCGATGTGATGAATTGAATCATCGACTTCAACACTTGATGATCCTTATATTCTCCTATATACCCATACGACATGAACGTGTTACCTATTTGTTTTACTTATTTAACGACCCTGCCATTCCTTTGCATCCTCACAACATGTTCGTGTTGCATATGTGGCTTACTTGACAATCTTGATATTTCTTTGCATCCTAGTAACATTATTTATAAAAGTGTGAAAGCCAGTAAAAAAACAAGTTTCATAGTCAGCATCCCCTGTCCCATCCCACACAGCCAAAAGCACTGGGGGGGGGGGGGGGGTTGTTTCACCAATCCTTGCGTTCACATGGGCAATGGGGGGGAGCTTGATAAAAAGGCAGGTACTGTTGGTGTGGCCATGCCCACTAGCTCGTCTCCCAATAAGAAACGCAGCGCCATTACTCTCTTACTCCTTCCCCTTTTTCTTCGCTCATTCCCTTTGACTCCCATTATTCTACCCATTTCCAACCCCAAATGAACCTCTGATTCCTCTTCCTCCTCCAAAACGAAGGTACTTTCTTCCTCTGTTCTTCCTCTGTTTTGGGTTTTTTCATGGCGGAAATCCAACCTCAATGCATGATTTCTTCTGGGTTTTAGTGAAAGATGAACAAATTTTGTTCTTATGATTGTTTTATGAAGTATTTGTGGGTTTGAAGCTTAATGCTAGAACACTTCTGTTCTTGTTTTTTTTTTTTTGGTTTTTCTCAGCTGATTATGGATGATTATGAAGCTACAAGAATCGTGTTCTCAAGGGTTCAAAATCTCGACCCTGAAAATGCCTCGAAAATCATGGGCCTCCTCCTCCTCCAAGATCATGGCGAAAAAGAAATGATCCGATTAGCTTTTGGCCCTGAATCTCTAATCCATTCGTTGATTCTCAAGGCCAAAACAGAGCTGAACTTGAACCCATCTTCTTGTTCTTCAAGACCCAGAATCAATCTCCCACCTCTTTCGATTCCAATCCCAAATCCAAACTTTTCAAATCACCCAGACGGAGGAGCTGATTTTGTTGACGAGTTTCAGATTCAAGATCACCTCTGTTTCCTCACCGACGGCTCTGTAAATGAAAACCCAGATTTCTTTTACACTAATCCGGCAGATTTCCTGGCCAGTCCGACCGACGGCGATGTGCTGTACGGTGGGGGTAATTGGGCTGAGGAAGCAGGGTTGGGGCTTGGATGGCGGCCGTGTTTGTATTATGCGAGAGGGTTTTGTAAGAATGGAAGTGGATGTAGGTTTTTTCACTCTGGCGGCGGTGAGGTGAGTTTGATGGCTGATGGCGGCGGTGGAAGGGCGGAAATGGTGGAGCACTGTTCTGATGGTCTTCTTCTCCGGTCGAAATCGGGTTTGCAGCAGAGATTGGGAATGGGTTGTTCTGCTAATAGTAACGGTAACTTTTTTCCATATTCGCCGACGGCGGCGTCTGATTTGCTTCTTCAACAACAGCAAAACGAAATGCGAAGGTATCTTATCAATTCTTTTGTTCTTTTTAGCTAAATTAGAATTTGATTCTTCAATTTCAATCAATTTATTTATTTATTTTACCTAAAAAGTTATAGATACTAAATTATAGAGAGCATTAATCTTTGTAGCACGTGTACCGAAACGTTTCTTAATCTCTGTCGACCTAATCCAAGGTTTGAATCTATATTGGTACTAAAACACGAATTTAAGCCTAAACTTCAATAGTCGAATATGTTCTAGATAAAACTCACTCAGATTTGTCGATTACTTGTTTCCACATCGTTATAAGATCGTTCCCGTTTCCAATTGTGTGAGATCTTACAATCCACCTCCCTTGGCGGCGCAGTGTCTTAGCTGGCACACCTCTAATGTCTGGCTTTGATATCATTTGTAACAGCCAAATTCTTCGAAGGTTTTAAAACGAATTTGTAAGGAGACTAAAGAGGACAATATCGATTAAGAATGTGGGTTTTCACAAAGATTATTCTCATTTATCGTGTATTGTTTGTGGTTTTATTATTTCTGTTGTGTAACGAGCATAGACATGAAATGGAAGGATTTTGTTTTTGTGTTGTGAAAATGTATGCAGAGCGGCGGTGGGTTTATCCATGGCGGAGGAATCAGGCAACACAGGGAGATTCCGGCTGGAAAGAACGGATTTTTGCGGCGGAGGAATGGGGAATCCGGCAGCCAGACAAATATACTTGACATTTCCAGCCGACAGCAGTTTCAAAGAGGAGGATGTGTCCAAATATTTCAGGTGCTAATTTGTAGCTTTGTAATGATTGGATTTATGGTTTCAAGTAATCATCGGACTGGTCTGAAACAACTCAAGTGTTTGGTTTGTATTGGGAATTTTTTTTTTTTTTTTTTTTTTAATAAAAAAAATCAACCCTAAATTACTTATTTAATCTTTTTTAAATTAATAAAAATACCAATTGACTTTGTACCTCTAAAATATTTTAATTTTTTTTTAGAGTATCATTAACACAATCTTTATAATAAAAATAAAAAAAGTCTTCGGTTAGTTGTAAAAGTTCATGAATATTTTTTTTAATGTGATACCAACCGTAATAACATTTTTNATTTTTTTTTTAAAAAGTTTAAAAAAGGTATTTTAAAGTTTTTAAAAAAATTTAAGAATATTAATGGTATTTTTTTCAACATTTTTTAATGTTCAAGGGTATTTTTGAAACAAAATATTAAGAGTTTCTTTTTAAAAGTATTTAGGTATTACTAATTTTTTTTTTTTTTTTTGCAAGCTCGAGTAGACAAAGTGTAAAGTTTAGGGGTATTTTTATTAATTTAGTATTTTAGTTTTATTAATAATTTTTTAAAAAAATTTATATAACATCAATTTACCTATAAATTCATTTATTTTATTATTGTTATCAAATGGGTATAAATTTTATGAATATTCCATAAAAGAAATTATTTCTAAGATTTAAACTAAAAAAATTATTCAACATTTAATTGGAGGGTTGTTTATGTAATTATGCAGCATTTATGGACCAGTTCACGATGTAAGAATCCCATATCAGCAGAAGAGGATGTTTGGCTTTGTGACTTTCGTGTACGCAGACACGGTTAAGCTTATCCTGGCTAAGGGCAACCCTCACTTTGTCTGTGATTCTCGTGTTCTTGTTAAGCCTTATAAGGAGAAGGGCAAAGTCCCTGACAAGTTCAGGTTTTGTTCTTTCCTTTCTTATTCTGGTTTTGTTCTTTCCCTAAAATCCTTCTTCCATGGCTAACTTAAACCATAATTAGGAAACAACAACAAATGGATAGGGGAGATTTCTCTTCACCAACTGGTCTCGATTCTAGAGACCTTCACGATCTCCATCTCGGTAAGCATCCGATTCTCGAACCGACCGCTCGAGTATAAAGGTTCATGAATTCCCTGTTCAACTAAATGTTCGCACGGTTATATAATTGTCTTATATGAAGTGTTGGATGAAAGTCTCACGTTCGCTAATTTAGGAAATGATCATGAGTTTATAATCAATAAATACTATCTCTATTGGTATGAGGCATTTTGGGAAGCCCAAAGCAAACCCATGTAGGCTTATGCTCAAAGTGGACAATATCATACTATTGTGGAGATTAGTGATTCCTAACATGGTATCAGAGTCATGCCCTAAACTTAGCCATGTCATTAGAACCCTCAAATGTCGAACAAAGTATTGTGAGCCTTGAAGGCATAGTCAAACAGTGACTAAAGTATCGAACAAAGGGTGTATTTTGTTCGTGGGGATGTGTTGGATGAAAGTCCCACATCGACTAATCTAGGAAATGATCATGGGTTTATAATCAAGGAATACTATCTCCATTAGTGTATGAGACATTTTGCGAAGCCCAAAGCAAAGCCATGAGAGCTTATGGTTCAAAGTGGACAATATCATACCACTGTGGAGATCCGTATTTCAAACATTAAGAAGCACAAACACTTTAGTTTGGCTAGCATATCCTTGTTCGATATGTGTTGGACACTCGAACACTCTAATACCCATTGACACGGATTAGTCACTTGTTGTCATGATAGGTATGTGTCTGGTACGAGTTGTATAAAGTCAAAATCGAATGCTCGCGTTAGGTTTAGTAGTCATACCAAACACATAGGAACTAGACTTGTTGTATCTGTTATTCTGAGTCCTTGCACGAGGCTCGAGTTTCCCGAGTCCTTGTACGCACAGTCACGATAACTTGTTTTGTTTTGTAATATAGGAGCAAGAATGTTTTACAACACTCAAGACATGCTATGGAGGAGGAAACTAGAGGAACAAGCTCTTGAGCTTCAAGCTTTAAGAGTAATGAGTTTGCAACTTTCTGATGTTAAAAAGCCTCACCATCAGCAAACTCCTCTTCCAATTTGCAGCCCAATTCCTTCCCCTACTAACTCTCCTAATCCCTTCAATCAAGCCCTTCTTTTCCATTCAATTCCAAACAACTCACAACTCCTCCAAGGTACATAATATTCTCTTTGTTGCATTGTGATGTTTGATTATCACTAGTTGGTGTTCGTTCTAGCTCGATAATCCTCTTGTTGTTTGTAGAGAATGGCTCGAACGGCTTGCCCGAGGTTCACCTTGAGCCACGAGTGATGATCAATTCAAATTCGACAGTTGATAGTGATAGTAGCAATGACAAGGAAACTGACTTGCAAGAAACTAGGTAATATAAGGTTCTATCTCGTGTTTTTTTTTTTTAAATTTTGTTTCTTTGTTAGAAGAGACATGAAAGCGTGTTTGTCTGGATTTATTGATGATCGTTTTATGTTTTTTTGATTCGATACTTGATGTGTTTCTTTGTCTTTTTAAGCACTTCTGAAAACATTTTCAAAATTTGAGCTTAAAAACTAAAAAAAGACTGAGATCCCACGTCGATTGGAGAGAGGAATGAGTGTCAGTTAGGATGCTGGGCCCTGAAAGTGGATGGATTGTGAGATCCCGCATCGGTTGGATAGTAGAACGAAAAATTCTTTACAAGAGTGTGAAAATCTCAGCATAACAGACGCGTTTAAAAACCTTGAGAGAAAACTTGAAAGGAAAAGCCCAAAGAGAATAATATCTGCCAGTAGCAGTGGGCTTGAGCTGTTACAAAGGCGGTTTTTTAATAACTCATTATTGCTTTGAAATTTGGCTAAGAATTCAAACCTGTTGTATTCTCTTCATGGACACGTATGAGCTACATTGCAGTTCTGAACGTTCTTGTTTTGTTGCAGTTTGGAGCATAATCTCCCTGACAGTCCCTTCGCCACGGCATCGTACACGCCAAGTGGCATCGAGGTCGACGAATCGGATGCCTCAACCGACAATCATTCTGCAGCTTCATCCTTCGCTTCGACATCAAACCTCGGCGCACCCTTCAAATCCTTCAACTGCCAGTAGGGGCCACTATTCCATGTCTGGAGGCTTATGATATTCTAAGCTATCATTTCCTACAGATACTGAGATTTGTATATCAATTTTCAGGTACCCTTCTGGCCATGGAGCCATCGGGTTGTATGCAAGCACGGGCGGACCGACATGTCGAGTCGGGATTTAGCTTCCCCGTTTAGCTGATCATGTAAGTTCTACGTTCTTCATTTCTCTTCCCTTAGCTCAAGAAATGGCATTGGAAACAAACTCAAACCATTTTGTTGTGTTCTACAGAAATTTCAAGAAGTGTCTTAAGAGCGCCCACAGTACCAAGGATCTAAGAATTACCACAGGAATAGCATTTAAAATAACAGTAAAAAGAGACAGAGACATTGATTGACATGAAGTTTTGAGTGTTTGGGCACTGTAATTCTCTTACCAATGTAAATTATTAATCTTACAAGGTGAATTCATAAGCCAACATGGTCAAAATTCAGTCATCTTTGTATATGAGAAGTGTTAATGATAAAATTGGATGTTCAATGCTAATAGGCTTTTAGAAATATTGGTAAATTTGATATTAGTAATTATAATTATCTCTCTTATTGGAGATGAGAGTTTCTCCCTCTTCATGGATGTCATTGGCTATATGCTCATGTTCATCTTCTCCGTTCAAATCGTTCACATCTCGGATCTCGATTTAGCTCGTTGGTCACCTCTTTATTTTTCTGTTAAATTCTCTCCTCAGCTCCCATTTCTCCATTCGACTTTGTCGACGTCGTCGCTAACTGTCTCTTCGCTCGGCTTTTCATTCTATTTCTGTTGAATTTCTACGTTCTATGTTTCTCGTTTGACTTCTCCACTACTTCTCTTCTCAGTTTGGAATAATCTGAACCCAATCCGAAAATAGAGGGTTGGGTTATGAAAATTTTTGGGTCGGGTTGGATTGCCAATCCAACCAACCCAAACTGTTGGGTTGGTTCAAAAAAATCTCCCAACCCAACCCGAACTATGTACACCTAGTCAAAATAACACACCAACCAAACTTTGAATTAGATTGAGTTCCTTATTAATATTTGAATTAAAAAAAATTTATAACCGTAATATTTGTGTTTAAACTTGACTACATCCGAACGGAACGTTACAAGTAGTTGAAAGTTTCTTCAAAATTTATCATAAATTCTAAATTATAGTCATCTCATTGTCAATGAGAGCAAAACAACTTCTTAAGCTCACTGTACTAGCTTGAGACGAGTTACGATCATTAACACACGGTGAATAAGTATATTTCTATTCACTATTATTAATGTTTTTTTTATTAATTACGGTGTGTAGACAAGTGTCACAACCTTATTGAAGAGAGTAGGTTGTGACCCTTACATGGTGAAAAGTGAAACGACGACATTTAAGTGATGTTCATCCGGCCACGCAAGGACTTAAACGAGTGTCATGATGCGATCGAGAAGGACGGTACAAGACAAGGAAGAGAAGATGAGGCATAAACAAGACAAGGGCCACAAGTAGATAGCTGAGTGTCAGAGATAAGCTTGTTGAAGAGCTGAGTAAGGCCCTGAGCCTTAACCTCGAAAGTCGGGGTTTCGGAGAAAATTTGAACCTGCGATTTTGGAGTCAAATCCGTTCATACTCACCCAATTTGGTATCTATTGGGAGTTTTTTGGATTTTGTAGATGTAATAGTTGATCTTGATGCATTACATTGTTCAAACTTACAACAACACGAGTTTGGAATATCATAGAGAATCGGAGGATATTCTCTGAAACATAAATGGTTTGAACATATACGACATCAGTGGCTATGTCGAGAATGCCTTTAAATCATAAAAGTTGTTGAATTCCATTCTTACATTCAAGTAACTATGGAATTCAAATTTAAATATCAAGTTTTTCTTTAGAAAATGTATTCATATAACTCTGATCGATATAAATTATCCCACTCAAATCATAAAAGTTGGATTGAATTAGATTTTATTTTTGTTTGAGTTGAGTTAAATCTTTGAAAATTTGAAAATATGGTTTGGTTTGGCTTGTAGATTGACGTTTTTTTTGATCGGAGTCAAACTTGCAAATAGATTTACAATCCAACTCAACTCTTCAAAAAATTAAGAATATTTAATGTTTGTAATTGATGTTGGTGATGAGTTGTGATGTAACGACTTTAAATTTCTACATAAAGTTGTTGCTACTAACGTCTCATGCTCATCTATAATACTGAAATACAACTCTTTCATGAATATCATTTGTAATGTAAATTTTGAAAAATGCTTAAAACAATTTCATCTCTGGAAAACACAGTCATGGTCTTATGGGTTTAAATATGAAATACTGAAATTTAGAGAAAATAAAAGCAATACAAAATAATTAAAACAATGAAATGCATACCAACCTATTCTAACCTAAACCTAGAAATTTAAATATGAATCTACTCTATGCATGTGCACAGTCTCAGCTTGCGATGTCGCCGTCCTTCGTACAAGTGCGCCTTGCCTTTACCTGAAAAATGATGTGGCACATGGCTGAGTATTTCGAAGAATACTTAGTGAGTGGCCCCACTATAGGGGGTCTTGCAAATGCAAACACATGCAATCATGATTTAGGGATCTATCTCTAACATAATACGGGTGGCCTCTAGTCTCGGACAAATTGGATGTGTAGTACTTCCCTACACATGACTCACACGTGCGAGTGTGAATCCTAAGGGCGCTCGCACACCCCCTGGATCCTCTGGTCAAGCTAATTTGTAGCAACATCTAGAGGTCAGCAGAATCCCATAGTGTCATGCGCCTCATGAACACCTTCATCTGTGCGCATTCACACTCATCATCATACGGTGCGCGTCCGTATTCATCATCTCTAGGAGAAATAGCCCTATGCTTATGAACATACAATCTACATGAGATCCCTCTAAACCCATCATAATGTCTCTTCTGACACAACCCTCTAGTATCATCTCTTTGTTACTTTAGGTAACACATACTTGTGGATATTAATATCGTTTTCATGCTCTTAGGGTTGTGTCCTATGTCGATCTAATGACATGATGCAATATGACACTCATCATCATATAGCATGCTCAATATGAAAAACATCATCTTATTAAGGTAAACGTCACGCAATCATCATACTCATCATATTGCCATAAAATGCATCAAGCATATCAAGTACGTCATTCATCAAAATATATATATATATATATTACGCACATCATCAAGTATCATAACTCATACATCATCATATACTAGTATACGATATCATACGATACAACTCATACATCATCATAACTCATATATGGTCACATACTAACATACGACATCGTTTAAAACAGTTCATACATCATCATAATTCATACAATTTTTAGCCTATCCTATAGTAAGACCATTTTATTGATTAGCTTGAAGTTGTTGTCACAAATTTATCCTTGGTGAAAGTTTGATTCTGTCCTTTGAAATCCAAGTTAACCTACATGTAACTCATGACATTAGTTTCAAGTTCGAACTTCTATCGAATTATTTCTCAAATTTACATTGGTCCATGTATTAAACATTATACGAACATTAGAGGCTTTGCATGAATATAGTATTAAATATTTATTATAATTTCATTTTCACGCGGTGCATTTAAACTCTTTAACATTTACCATATATTTTCTTTCTTATTAGGTGTGTTTCCTTCCTTTTTATTTTAATTATTTTCTCTGTTCTGTATTTATTTATTTATTTATTTGTTGACAAATATTCGCCTGATTGATTCTAGTTATTTCCTATAACCTAACCTACTAACTAAAATCTAATCTAAATGACTTATTGATTCTAGTTATTTCCTATACCTAACATATTAACTAAAATTTAAATGACTTAAATGATTGGACAGTAAATAAGACATGTGATCTTGAATAATTAGATAAAGGAAAAGGAAATCTGATTATAATCTGACTTCTTGTAACATGATTGAATAAATAAAAATGAGATATGAAATATGACTTAGTAGAGATCTCTCATTAAATCTCTAGCTTTCTCGTTAAATATGACTTTGGTGACTGTCATGAACCTAGGTCAAAATCACATGAACAAGAGAAATAACTAGATTGTTGGAGCTACAACAACATGCCTACCTTGTTTTCGTCATTGGTTCAACTTGACCGGACTCAGCTGATACAGTGTCGTAATAATATGGGTGAAAATAAGTAATTGACCACATGGATACCTAGTAGTTAACAGGCACCCAAGGTCATTCCCTTTAAGACGTGTGTAACTTTGTGAGATCTATTTATGAAGTTGTCTGCTAATCCCTACTAATAGAGAACCAATAATCTATCACTAACTTTCCACACTGTCGTAATATACTTAATACTTCAAATTAGAATGAGTCGCACATCACAAAAGCTTATGTACTTCAAACAACTTCATGATCTTGTTAGTTCACTTCGTCTAGCTCCCATAGTTTCTCATTATTTGATTTGAGGACAAACACGACGAGAACATGAGAAAACCATGAGTTAGAAGATTTGGGACCAATCACAACAAATCAAAAACTTAAATAGGTTATCAAGAGGGTTATCTCCTAACATTCATGTTACTTTTCTTTTTCATATGGAAACTAAACTTCTCCATTGTCACGAGATTGTATGGATTAGATTGAATCAATTCATACCCAAATTTCTCTGAAAAAAAGGTTAGATGTTACACATCATTATCGAAATACGGAGTTTGTGGCTGACGTGATAGTTCAATACTTCCCAAATATCTCTAAGCTCTGAGTTTGCTGATAGGATTACTTCTAAACTAAATTCATGTTTCTAAATCCAAACCCACGCGCCCCTCCCTACTGATCCAGAATTAGCTGAAAAACCCTAATACAAAACTCCATTTACATGTGAGTTGCTATTGTAATTTCATTTCCGTTCATTTCTCATCCTTCCTCTTCTTCTTCTCTTCGTTTTCTTTAACACTTTTTACTTTATGAATACTGTTAAATGCCACAATGATCGCTTGTTTTCATATATTTTATAATTAACTTGTTCGTATTTGTTAATAAGTATTTATTTATATGAACGAGTCTCCAAACTAAGACAGATTACTCGTAGGATAAATAGAATAACTTAAAGTGCGTGTTGAATGACGAAAACGTCACCCAACCATTTTATTACATTCATCATATGATATGATTAAAAGCATTTGGTTTTAAGGGCAAGGGAAGAAGCAATAACAAGAACGAGTAAAAGGAAGTGTAGTGGCTGCCACACAGTGAGCCGTTGATTCAGGATGCTTGTCTAGACACCTCATCTGACAGTCTTGTGGTCGGCATCCGTCATACAACTTCTCCTCACAATCTGCTGAATGGGCTGCTCGAGGAACCATCAATGCAGCTGCAAAAATTTGAAAATGTTTAAACAAACATACTAAAAACTAAAATCAATTCAACTTTCATAATTTGAAGACAAAAACAAGGATATCTTATGAACAAACCTGAGAAAAGAAGAACAAGGAAAAATAGGGAGCAACAAAACTTGGCCATCTTGATCAAAGAAATTGATTAAACAAAATTAATCCTTTGGATTATTTCATTTGTGATTGAAGGCCATGTATTTATAAGCAAATTTGTGATTTACTTGCATGGAAACACGATCCAATTTGGAAAGTGGCCAATTATGATAGAATTTTAACGGATATTTCTTTTATGGCAATTGAAGGATGGGATATTGAAATAATAACAGATACTATCCAATCTAAAAACATTTCTTAATATGATAAGATTTTTTTTTTTTTAGTATTCATTCTTGATTTCCTCTTCACGTATACTTGTAGGATCGATTAAGACATGGCTGATTATGCTATCCAATCTAAAAACATTTCCTAGTAAGTGATGAATGACTATGATCTCTTGCATTGAGAATAGGGTTATCGGTTACTGGGTTACTTAAGCATGTATGATCCTTGTGTTTCTATGCTTTGTATGAATTTAATATGAATGAATATATGAATTTCTCCTTTGAATTTTGAGTTAATTCATTAGAGCCGTATTCATTATGTTGGCTAGAAACACGAGTATGATAAGAATTTATGTTGTCTAGATGTATGCCCTAAAGCCTTGTAATTAACTATAAAAAAATTTAATAATAATTTTGATTATTTTATTTGCAATTTCAAATTATTCATTGTAGGAAAAATCTAAAGTTATTAATGTACTCTTGAACAATATGTGGTTGATATTACACGAAAATCATGTTCAAGTAATAACCTAGGTCTACAGTATATGGATAAATTTGGGTGTTTTATCCTAGAAACATTATTGATACGACTCATTTTGTAATTGTTGCAAATGATTTGATCCAAATTATTCATGTTGAGACATGTAAGGTAGAGTATCGTATATGGTGAGTTTGTATAAAACATAACCACAAAATATTCAATCTCTTTTTATAAATTGGTCAATTGAAAATATTGATATTTCATATAATGATCATATGCAACTTGAACTTGATCTTGATCTTAATGACTTTTGAATTTTTGCCTGTGAGGGCTTGTCCTTGGATTTATATGAGTGAGAGTGGTTCATTTTTTGGGACCAGACCAAATACGGAGTTTGAAGCGTAACTTCACAAGAAGAAATTCACTCATTCCCACGTAAGGTAAGTAGATGAGTTACTTCTCTTAAGTGCTGATTTTGAGACTTGAACAATGAGGTCTCACATCCAGAACAAACCCATTTTGTGTAAGATAGCGGTGAAATTCATATCTAGAGTGAACTACTTTTTTGTTCCTAGACTTAGGTAGTTTGTTTTGCCTAAGCAATGTAGAATTGGTGTTCTAGGTTGAGGCGCTATGTCGCAAAACTCTCTCTGGTGGGGATATTATGGTGTGTGCTAGCCTACTCTCATCGTCCATGAAATGTTAGCTTGCAAACCCATCGCACAAAACCATCTAAGTCACCTAATATTGGGGGAGCGGCCCACATGTGCTTGCCAGCTATTAAAACTACTAGCATGGTCTCACATCCTCTCTCAGGATGGATCGGTTGTGTAAGGTAATCCAACTGAATTTTCAGTCACACACCTCTAATTGTCCTAGCCCTAACTTAACCGTACTTACCTAAGAAAGAAGGAAAGTGAAAGCTCTGTTGATACTGTACCAACTACTAATGGTATGGAAGCTACCTTTATCATTCTTGGATACCATGGAAAAGCAGTGTAGGTCTCTGTTATGCTCGGATTAAGTCGGTGCATGAGAACGAATGGGACCTGAGTTAGATCGAATCACCAATGATTTCGTACAAAAGATCAAGGTAGGGATTTGCACCGCTCAAAGCAGACAAAAAATCTACGACGATGTAAGGTGTATGAGTTTGGAATTTGAAATAGAAAACATGGTATTCTTGAGAATGGCTCCAATGAAACGTGTTTTGATATTCTTACATAAGGCAAGCTAAGTCCACACTTCATCAGACCTTTCAAAATTCTAGAGTGAATTGGTCTAGTAGCATATAGGCTAGTCCTACCACCCTCACTCTCAAGTGTGCATGACTCCATGTGTCAATGCGCATAAAATATATAATGAACCCTATTCACGTGATAGACTACGAGCCCTTTTAGATTGACGAGGACTTAAATTACGAGGAGAAACCTATGAGCCTTTTATGTAACTTTCATGTATATATATATACACTTTGACGTCTTATTTCACTTTTATCTATTGATTTAAAGAAAAATGTTTATCAATTTTTTATTAAAAGTCGAGTGTTACTATGTGCAATTTGTAGCTTAAGTCTCTCGAAAGTTGATTGTTACACATAATCTAAATAAAGAGTTTGTAGCAAGGATGTAACGTGATGGTTCAATCTTCCAAAGTATCTTAAACTGTGTGTTGAATGACGAAAACGTCACCCAACTATTTTATTTCATTCATCATATGATATGATTAAAAGCACTCGATTTCAAGGGCAAGGGAAGAAGCAATAACAAGAACGAGTAAAAGGAAGTGTAGTGGCTGCCACACAGTGAGATGTTGATTCAGGATGCTTGTCTAGACACCTCATCTGACAGTCTTGTGGCCAGCATCCGTCATACAACTTCTCCTCACAATCTGCTGAATGGGCTGCTCGAGGAACCATCAATGCAGCTGCAAAAATTTGAAAATGTTTAAACAAACATACTAAAAACTAAAATCGAATCAACTTTAGGATTTTTAAACATAATTCGAAGACAAAAACAAGGATATCTTATGAACAAAAACCTGAGAAAAGAAGAACAAGGAAGAATAGAGACTTGGTCATCTCGATCTTAGAAATTAAATCAATGATAAACAAAATTGATCTTTGGGGTTATTTCATTTGTGATCGAAGAACATAGTATTTATGGGCAAATTTGTTATTTTGATACATGGAAACATATTCATTTTGTATTTTATTGAGCGATTCAATTAGGAAAGTGGTCAATTATGGAAACTTTGAACAGATATTTGTGGATGGGCAATTGAATGTCCTAACTGTAAAATAATAACAACTAATTAAACCTAATCTTAAACACATTTCTAAATATTACATTATTTTTTAGTTTTCAGATAAATATCTATGAAAAGTTTAATAGATCTATCAATAACTCAGATCTATTAGAGACGTGTGAATGAACTACTTACTAAACATGTTTATATTCATTCTCGACAGGTAAGTATTTATTCTTGATTTGCTCTTCCCATAAACTTGTAGGATCGATTAGGACATGACTGGTTATGCTATGTTTGACCAACTCCTTGAGATGATTCACTCTCAAGGTACACATAAGTTTATACCTTTGATCGTCGTTCACAATTTTAGAGTGCAGTATCAACTTGAAATGTACTAACGAAGGTCAACTTTTAAACTACTCTAGCTATAGCGCCTTAAATTTAGTTCGGTTCTCTTGTGCATGCTTTACTAGGCATAACGGTAATTTTTTTATAACATATATATAGTATATACTCATCCAAAAGTGTCATTCCAAAGTCCTTAACATGCAACTTTTAACAACCGAAGATAAGAAATGCTTGCATGCTAATACTTTCTATCGGTTCATACAAATATTACTCGAATAAAATAGGTTTAGTACTGAAATCCAGATAGAAAACTAATAAATGGAAGTCGAACGAGTTAAAAAGTGGCACTCACGCGTCTATTTAAGCACTTGAAGGTTTCCCTATGCAAGTGTATGTCAAGTGCCAGAGGAGGAGCATATGCACAAGCTGTGCAACATGTGTTGCCTTCTTGTTGGCGTGCACAACTTAAACGGTGTGCGTCCGATCTCTCGAGTGCGCTAGTTTTTCTCCAATTTTTCTTATGATTACACGTGGTGCACGGGTCAGTTCAAGCTGTCAGGCACAGTTCATGGGATGGGTGAGTGGGTCGGGTCTCGAATGGTCGCAAGCGTCACAACGCGTGTCCTTTTCAATGGGTGATGCATGTCCTAATCATGCTTGTCCAAGACATTTTTTCGTGGCCACATGCCTATTTCATGTCAAACCCACCATATCTTACTATTTTATCACTTTTATTTATCGTTTCCATGATGTAATGTTTCATTTTTTATTTTCTTAAGAGTATGATATTTTATCAAAATCATGTTTGAGAAGACGTGAAATGCCTCAAAATGTACTAGGGGATATACGACAAGTCATCGATTCTTCCAACATGGAGTTATATGTTATGTGAACGGTTGTGTTGTCTCTCTTACTTGCTAGCTTTTAACATTGCTTTCAAAACTCTTTTTCAAAAATCTCTCTACCCCATTTGATAAAACCTTCTTTTCAAACAAAAGACTTGGTACTTCCTCCTGTCAATGGTGGTGGTGAGAGTGAGTCTCGCACAATCACTTAAAAATATCTCGAGAAAGTGCGACTGTGAAAAGGTGCATATGTCCCTCTAGTTACACGTTCATGGTTGATGTGTTGTCATCTTCTCTATGCATACTCATTTTCTAGATTTTAATAAATTTTCTGATTTTTTTTGCATTTTCATAACTTCTCATCCAAAACTCAAATCAAGTTGAGTTTTAATCTAGGTTTACAAACATATTTTTCTCATAATTTTTTTTTTTTTTTTTTTTTTTTTTTGATAACCTCAAATAGAAATAATGATGTCTAAAGATAGTAAAAAAATATCAAAACTTATAAACCTTGTCAATGGCTTGAACATCAATACCGTGGGTGGAAATTAGCAGGGGATCTCTAACAAATCTTCTCGGCCATAAACTTGCCCTCATGAGATAATTGATCACATGGATTCTTAGTAGTTGACAGGCACGAGGGTCACTCCTTTCAAAATTAGTGTGACGCTATGAGGTTTATTTAGAGAGTTGCCTGCAAATCTCTATGAATAGAGAACTAGTAATTGATTCCTCTAAGAATCTTGTTAGGAACTTTGAGGAGCATATGCATTCTAAACAACCCATTAATGTGATATTAAGTAGTTTTGGATTAGACCATAAAAATTATTGGAGAAAGACGAGATGAAACAATAAAACACAAATAGGGTAAGAACCCGAGAAAGTCATAAGTCAGTATTTTGGATCAAACACAATCAAAAGCTTTAATAGGTTATGAAGGGAGTTATATCTCCTAATAGTGCCCTACAATCCACTCACATGGTATTTAGTTGCAATCAATTTTGAGACCTACAAATATAATAACTTACCCCTTCATTGTACTATCATTTTTATATGGAAACTTAACTTGAGTCCCTTAACTCAGACCATTCTACCTTTAATTTTCCTTTCTGTTTTATTGCAATTTTTACCTTCCAATATTACCACTTTACTACTAAGAATTCTTTTTTTTTTTTTTTTTAATTTAGCAGTGAACAAATATTAAGTTTTGTCGTGGGAAATCATACTCGAGCATAGTATGGTAGAAGAAGATAGGGTAAATAGAATAACTTAAAAGTGCGTGTTGAATGACGAAAACGTCACCCAACCATTTTATTGCATTCATCATATGATAGGATTAAAAGCATTTGGTTTTAAGGGCAAGGGAAGAAGCAATAACAAGAACGAGTAAAAGGAAGTGTAGTGGCTGCCACACAGTGAGCCGTTGATTCAGGATGCTTGTCTAGACACCTCATCTGACAGTCTTGTGGTCGGCATCCGTCATACAACTTCTCCTCACAATCTGCTGAATGGGCTGCTCGAGGAACCATCAGTGCAGCTGCAAAAATTTGAAAATGTTTAAACAAACATACTAAAAACTAAAATCAATTCAACTTTCATAATTTGAAGACGAAAACAAGGATATCTTATGAACAAACCTGAGAAAAGAAGAACAAGGAACAATAGGGAGCAACAAAACTTGGCCATCTTGATCCAAGAAATTGATTAAACAAAATTAATCCTTTGGATTATTTCATTTGTGATTGAAGGCCATGTATTTATAAGCAAATTTGTGATTTACTTGCATGGAAACACGATCCAATTTGGAAAGTGGCCAATTATGATAGAATTTTAACGGATATTTCTTTTATGGCAATTGAAGGATGGGATATTGAAATAATAACAGATACTATCCAATCTAAAAACATTTCTTAATATGATAAGATTTTTTTTTTTTTTAGTATTCATTCTTGATTTCCTCTTCACGTATACTTGTAGAATCGATTAAGACATGACTGATATGCCATGTTTGATCGGTTAGGACGAAGATATATATGACTAAGACAAGTTTCTTGGTCTTTAACACAACGCCTCTCTCATCCATATAGGGGTGGAACCTTTACTTCAAATATAATAATAATACAAGTTTGAGGATTTTAAGAAATACTAAGTCAATGAACCCACTCTTGAGGTGGAAATGCAATCACAAACAACATGGGACCTATCATTTAATACTTCATTTCATTTCTTTCTTTGAGGTAGCTTTCCAGTTCGGGCTAAGTTCAATGTGTATTACTTCTCTACACACGACCCACACGTGCAAGCGTGGGCTCACCAAGTGGGTTTGCACACCCATTAGGCTTGCTGGTTGGGCTAGCACTCACTTACGAGTTGTTGTCGGACACCCGAAGGGAATATCGATTATTGTAGCATCGTAAACACAATGGTCATTTTAGTCTCATGGTGTATGCTACTCATCATAAAGGGGAAGTATCCCCGATGTACATGAAGAAACAATTATGCATGAGTTCCCCATACTTTTCAATAAATAATGCAAGACAATCCCTATTCTTCCATCACATATTAAACTCGATAATTGTGCATCATAGATTTCCTTATTTCAAAACATATCATGACCTGTCATAGCATATCATAGCCTAACATAAACATAACATAACACGTGCAGGGCCACAGGTCACATTGTTATCATAAATAAAACAATTCTTCCAACCATGTCAATAGTATAGTCACTTATTTAGTTGGTCTAGGTCGGAGCTACTAATTATTTTTTTATATCAGAAAAATGTTGCACGAAAATGTTTAAGTCATGAAGTATCGAATCCAGATTCTTAATCCTTATCCAAATCATGGACATGGACATGAGTCGTTACATCACCATTTCATTAGCGCATTACAAACTAATATAGATGGTGATTTAAATTTAATACCCAAGCGAATAAGAATATTAGGTTTTCTCGTGTGGGAACTCGTATCCCGAACAAAGTATGGTAGAAGAAGGTAAGATAAATAGAATATATGATACGATTGGTCACCCAACCATTTTATTATATGCGAATAGGTTAAAATGAGTGTGTTCTTAAGGCAACTGTGGAAGCAAGAGCAAACAAGGGTAAGAGGAATTGCAGGGGCTTTTAATGCAACGGTCGAAGCAATAGCAAGTAAGGGTAAAAGCTGATGCAGTGGCTGTCACGCACAGAGATGTTGATCCAGGATACTTTTGTACACACTTCTGCTGACACTCTTGCGGCGAGCATCCGTTCAATAACTTAGCCGCACCAATTGCTGAATGGGCTGCTAGACAGGTACCATCAATGTTTAGTATCTAACAAATCTAAGAATAACTCAACAAGATAAGAACAGAACTTTTAAGAGGTTGTTAGCGGGAGTGAAACTACATCGACCGAGGAGGAGTCTAATGGTTCCTTGCACAAATTAATATTTTGTTTTCAAGAACCTTTCAAAACAAAAAATTCAAAAAGTTTAACCGTCCTAATAAGACTTTTGAAACCGTATTTTCTTAGCAATTATGAAGTCTTAGGGATATTTTTTAAACAAAATATCAATAGTTTTTTTTGTCCCATAAAAGTATGTTTGAACTTTTTGAAAGTTTTAAAAGTACTCGGAGTCAAGTTTTGAAATATTTTTTATTAATTTAGACTAAAATAAAATAAAATTT